AAAAAAAATTATAAATGCTAATAACGAGTAAAATCGTCATTAAGCCCGATCCTATTGGAGATACACACGACGCGCAATATCTCCATACCCCTTAATTTTTAACCACGAAAACTTATTAGAATAAATTCCGCTAATAATCAAAATTTAAGAAATTTTCGACGAAAAAAAAAAGTAGAAGTTATTAAACTTCAAAGAGGGCGAGGAAAATCTTGCTCCTCCACACATAAACATTCATACATGCAGATAAAATCCCCGAATTTGTTTGCATTTCATTTTTCAAGGTGTCTTAAGTCGAAAAATATAAAAATCTGGAAAGGGAACATTTTATGCGTGATCTCCATACTTTTCCTCTGTAGAACAGCCGGAAAAGTAATAATAAATTTGACTGAACACCGAAGACAGCAAATTGAATTCAGCCCTGGTTTGTGTTCCGTTCGAGAACAACTTTCGATCCATTCGATCGTTACGACAAAAATATACTAAAACGTCTCTCTCTGCTTCAATAATTCGAATATTTTTCCACATTGCATTTGCTGCAATTGAAGCAAATAAGCAGATAAAACTTAATGGCTCCACACGATATTTAAAATTCGAAAACCGTAAATTTCAATGTTCATTCTGGACATTTATAAACATAAAATTTACGGTATTATACAGAAAAATGAGTTTTTAAAAGTACCATAATTACGTCAAATCCAAACAGAGTGGTTAATAAAGATGAATATTACAGCTCTGAATAAATGACACACATACTTAAATTATTAAAAATACAGTATGTAAATTCAACTTTGTATAATTATTTTTTAATCAATGAAACCATTCTGTTTCGGTAGATAAAAGTAATTAAGAGCGGTATTTATAATTCAAAGGTAAAATTTACACTCACGGATGGCTGAAAGAGCCGAAAACAATTCTTTACAATTATGGACTTTATTCAACAATAATATCAATAGAAGTATTGTTATTATTTATATTCTTTATTTTCAAATGAATATCTATTCAATGAAACCAAGACGTTATTCAAATAAAAAAAAAAACTCTTCCTCGCAGGTTTATTCGTTATTCGTAACCAAACTAAATAATAAACGTATACTAAATAATGTATTTTAAATTTCAATTTATTAAAAAAATAACTTTAAGAAACATTTCCTGTTCAATTCCTTAAAATCGAATACATTTTACAAAATATGAAAATAACAAATGAAGAAAATAAAACTTCAAACGTTTCTTGTTTTTAAGTTGAATAAAATCTAAATACGAATATTAATACAAATAAATACTTTTGTTAACATTTTCTTCAAAAACAAATATCGTTATTCATTATTATTATGATATGTAATAATATGATGCTTTAAATTAGATTGAAAACGGAACTTTTGTAAGCAATAATTACACGAAAATGGCTTTTCCCCTGTATGAACTCGGAGATGCTGAATCAGATTTCCCCTCTTTGCAAAACTCCGTTTGCAATAATCACAGGTAAAGAGTTTCTCCCCTGTGTGAGTTCGCAGATGTTCAATCAGATATCTTTTCAGTGCAAAACTCCGTTTACAATGATCACAGGTAAAGGGTTTCTCCCCTGTGTGAGTTCGCAGATGTTCAACCAGATTTCCTTTCTGTGTAAAACTTCGTTTGCAATGATCACAGCTAAAGGGTTTCTCCCCTGTGTGAGTCTTGACGTGGTACCATAAACTGCTGGGATGGATGAACTGACGATTACAGAATTTGCAAAAGAGCCGTTCTCCGGTGTGAATCCTTTGATGACATTTTAAATTGGACTTCGAAGCGAATTCTTTCTTGCAACTACCACATCGATACCTCCAATTACTTGACTTATGATTATTTAATCCTGTAAAATACGATAAGTAAAAATATTAAAAGCATTGTCTAAAGATCAAAAGTCTTTTCAATTTATTCTCAATCAAATATCTAAATTTAAGCACTCTATTTTTAACGTGCAGATAGAAAACTAATTTACAATTTTTAACGAGTTTCCTTAAATACTTAAATTAAAATTTAATGGTTAAACCTATTCCTGTGATTTCACTAACAGGGTACACCTGTGTTCACAAATATTACCAACAGGCATAAATACTGTCACAAATTAATGTCATTTATACAGTTTATTTTTCTATAAACAATTTATATGCTGTTTGCAACAAAAATATATAGATAATCATCTTCATTTAATTTTCTGCTTTTCGTCCTTTGCATGAAATATACTTTCTTCTTTGATGCATTCTTGTATGATTTCTTATGACTGGTTGCAGTTTTGGTCGTCCGTAAACATAAGTTTAACACATTCTTCAGCTCTTACTAGACATGCTCTTAATTGGGGGATGGTGCATCTGTAAATAACAAAAAGCTCTGTAAAACGAGATATGAAAATGGGATTAAAACATTACTATCTACATCATATTAAATATGTTAAAACTAAAACTAATTCTTCTGAAAATTCTTCGACATTTTGCCCCAGAAAAGTAAACCTTTATCGAAAACCTGAAAAAGAAAGAGATTCCAGTTAATATTCCTTATTAAAGTATATGTATTTACACACATTAAATTTCTTTCCATATGAAAAAAATATCTGCTAAAATCTCGACTTGTGATTTGTAAAAAATCTTCCTTTTGTGTTTTCCTTGTAATGTAATCAGCAAAGAAATTCTCTTCTTTAATCAAGATTGTACATCATTACGTTAGATTAATAAATTGTATTGATTCTATTAATTATCGAAGTCGAAACTAACTCTTAATGTAAAGCTAAAGTTAGCAATAATTTTCCAAATATATTAACTTATTTTGGTAACCACTGATAAAAGATTTATAGACGAATAAAAATGTGACTAAGGGGTACTGAAATTAACTTAAACCAAAACGTCAATTAGGACTTATCTATTATTAAGACTTATTATACTGGATAACTGGTTCTGCAAATTAAGTAAACAAAGAAAAACTATCTTTATTTAGCATCTGAACACATACACGATATCTTTGTGTTTCGAACCGGTCAGTAAGTGTAAGTTTACCGTCGACAATCTCTAAAAAATTTCAATTTAAAATTCCTACAAAATTATTTATTTAGAAAAATCATAAAAATTCCTGACAATAAAATAATTTAAAACTTACAATTTCTGGATTTTTAAGTACCTCCACGAAACCGACAATATTTAATGCAATATTCATTAATATCAATCCAAACATATTCCCGCTTTTAAAACAATATAATTAATTAAAAATAATGAAGATTGAATTTAACCCCACTTCATTTCTCCTTTTATACTTTCTCTCTCTATTAGATGATGCTATTCCATGATTGGTGTATTTCTCGTCCTGTGTTGTTATTTATTCTATCTTTTTGATTAACTATAGAGATGTGTTCGTACAGTACAATTGTCTTTTATAATTATTTTCATTTTTTCTTTATTTTTACTGTGTTCAAATCAGTGGCGTGTCGTGACATTTAACGATAGGGAAGCTGTGTTTCTGTAAAAAGACTTCCAGGGGCAATAAGTTAATTGTGTGTCAGCGATGGTCTAGCGTCAATTCGTATTCGTTTGTTCGATAAGTCAGAAAAACCGTACACTTCTCTAAATGTATTTTTAGCCACGATATAAGGACTAAAATTAAAAAAAAAACTTACTCGGTGAAATAAAATGTGTGATGGATATACAATTATACATACCTGGTACAAAATATTCTTCAATTGTACGAATATACTTTTAAAGAAAGTTATAATTAAATTTAGCTTTGTAAAAAAACGTACATAAAAATAACATAAAATATTTTTACTTTTTAAACCTTAAAACAATCCACTTACCCCCGTATTCACCAACGCGAGTTAGAGTTAGAGTTAGGGTGAACTCTCGAGTTATTGGTAAATTGGTATTCACCAACTGAGAATATCGAGTCAAACACAATAACCCTAACTCTCATTCTAACTCTAGAAAATCGGCGAGTAGACCATAACTCTAGGTTTCATGCCTGTGCAAAGCGATCTAATTCAGGGAAAAATGGCTACATTCGACGAGGACGAAGCCGAGATGCTAGAAAATCTGAACTATCTAGATTATATAGATCGTATGGAACGAAGAAGTCGGCGGATTATTTCTCCAAGAAGAAATGACCTTGAACAATTGGACGATTACGACTTTCTATGTCGATATCGTTTGCCGAAAGAGAGCGCAAGAAACCTACTAAAACGAATTGGTCACAATTTAGTTTCTACATCATCGAAAAATTATTCGATGTCGCCGATGGAACAACTGTTGTTGGCTCTACGTTTTTATGCCACGGGAACATTTCAGTTTGGCGTGCACTATTTTCCATTTTCACTTTCTGCCATTTTCTACACGTGTTTGCTTTCAACCAATCAAGACTCTGCTTACAAAAGAAGACTTGTTTAATCTCAAACGCAGGATTGTTTTAAAACATTAACTCTAGAGTAGCGAAACTCTAGAGTTATATTTTTATATGAATACGAAAGAAGAATAACTCGTAATCTGACTTCGAGTTACATCTAAACTCGAGTTTGTCAACTCTGTTTAACTCGCGTTGGTGAATACGGGGATTAGTCAAATAGCTCCCTACCAGTGGTTAATGATTGGGATCAGAGACGGTCCTGCAGTGTATGCATACACGCGAGCTGCCAAATCTCGAGGGTGCCAATACCGGTCAATGTCAAATGCGTGTTTAGTCGCATCACTAGTATACCTCAAAGGATGTGACAGGGTTGTTGTAAATTTTAAACGTTTCTCACCATAGCTGTAAAAATCTAAATATGTTAAACTTAATATGTTAAAAATATGTTAAATATGTTAAAACAAAGATGTTTTTAGTTGAAATATAATTTTGAAAAAGGCTAACCAGATAACAGAAAGTATTAATTCGAAATAGAAATAGAGAAGCAGAATAGCATTAATTACTTAGATCTAACAATTGAAAAAAGAGAAGATAGATTAATTTATAAAAATTATGTAAAACCGACACAGATTCCCAAAAATAATTAATTACAAATCTATTATTCCTATTAATATGAAATTTAATATATTTAAAATGTATATGGAAAAAATAAAATATAGAACAAGTGAAACAGAGACCCAGAAACAAGAAGAGGAAGAAATAATTAAAATGTACCTACAAAATTTTTACTGAAAAAATGCATAAAAAATTAGAAAAAGATAAACAAACAAAAAAATTAATAAATAAGGAGAAACAATTTGTAAAAGTAGAGTATGTACCAAAGTTATTTGAAATAATTCAAAAATTAATAGAAAGTAAAATAAATTTAATACTCGAAAAAATAAGTTCAACTAAAAAAACATCTTTGTTATATACCAAAAATACGAAATAACAGAAGTATATTCGTTGAATTGTAGTTTAACCCAGAAGAAAACATATATTGAAGAAATAAAAAGAAAACTAAAAGTAAGAACATTAAAAGAACATATTCGTGCAATCAAAGGGAATTATGCAAATTCTGCGGTAGAGAAACATTGTAATTTAAAGGGATGCGAAGTGAATTTGAACACATTAAAAATGAAGAAAAAAAAAACAATTATAAAAGACAGTTGTACGAACACATGTACATAGTTAAACAAAAAGATAGAATAAATAACAAGACAGGAATAGAAATAGACCAATCATGAAACAGCATAATCTATAGAGGGAAAAAGGGGATTATTTATTATTAGAATGTTTAAACCAATCTTCATTATTTTTAATTTGGGTATTGAAATTCTTACTTATTTGAAAGTTTATAGAAAAAAGTAAGTTTGAGAATTTCGAGACAGCAGTTTTAACGTTGATTATTATCCTCCTCAGACCCGAGAATTAAAAAATGTGTTTTTTAATCAATTTATTTTAAAATTACAATATTTGTATTATAAAAAGTCCATTTATGAATTCAACATCAATCTTTGACCCTTAGTGTTTTTTAAATAGTAAAATAAATAAAAAGTAAAAAACAATGTTGCCAGATGCCTGACAATGAAAAGTGAAAACTCCACTATAAAGGATTCCTGGTCTGAACTCGATAAAATGAACAGAAAAATATTAAACAAATAAAAACAAACATCCATTTTAATGAATGAGAGGTTGGAGGAGGTTAAAGAATAGCAAAGGACTTAATTCTGAGTGTACAGATTAGTTTCATCATGATCTGTAAATGCTAATAACAAGTAAAATCTTCATGCGAGATACGACACGTGACCATCCTCTAACTCCCTTCTCCCTCCATCTTCCATCACCAAAATTTAATAGTCTCAATGCTCCTTATACCCAAGCTACTGTGTTCGAAATTTTGCTTATTATCTTTATTCCATTCTGATATATTAAATGGAATAGACAAAACACGCATTCACGGAATTTTTTACCGCTTCTGGGTTCAGCAGGTCTCGAAACGTAAAGATTGCAAATTTGCTCCATTCCATTACTTTTCCTTGTTATATATACGTAACAGCCGGAAAGTAAAAGTAATGGTTCCAAGCAATGTTTAAAATCCATATGTAGTATACAGATGGTTCCAGATCGTATATTTTAAAAAAGTTCATTAAAAACAACTCACTAATTCCTAATGTTAAAAATACACTCTGTAAAAATAATATTCATATTTAATATTATTCAATAACAATATAATCAACATAATTACTAACATTTATCCTTTACTATTTCATACAAATTAAAAAAATACTTTTCTATCTCTTGTACAGGGGTTAAAATAGAGGTTAGTGCGTGGTTGCTTATCCTCGAAAGAACCTGGGAAAATGCCTTCTGAAAAGTCTTTTAAGCATAACTGGCACCTCTTTAGGCGTTAGAATCGTAAAAAAAACTGGAAAAATCCACGTGGCTAGCCCGTCCTGGCCAGGCACGAACCCACGACCGAACTACTAGTGTTCATTTGGCCAATAGTGGGCTATTTTTTACTATCTTATCACTACAATGATGCTTTTTTACTTTAATGTCCCTGGGGGACAATATTGTTTGCCCACTTTAAAGCTTAACTCCTGCGCGTTTCGCGAAAATTTCTGAAATCTCGCTAGGTGCTTTATAGGAGGATTGACGCTGCTAAATTTTGGTAATTACAGATCGAAGGGATGGAGCGATAAAGCACTTCATGATGATTTTATTTTAGGGTAGTTATTAAGTATAATTTTTTAATTTAAAAAATTATACTTAATTCATTAATTCTAATTTCTTATCCTTTATACAGTCAAACGTCAAGTTTCGAACGGCTCTGTTTACGAACAAAATTTTGAACGCACATTTGCTCCGGTTGCCGAATTATCTACTCCGCAAAAGCCGTCCACAGACGATCAACTCTCTATATTTCCTTTCTTAAATTACTTCTCGGTATCGATTTATTTGATTATATTTCACGCAGTCAGATGCGAGTCTCTATAGCACTTTGTAAAGTGTTTGTATTTGTTGGCCGTGAAGGAACATTTTGGTTTTAATAAATATATAAATTACATATGGATCTCGATAATTTAATATTAAATTGCACGTGTAGGTATTTTGTTGCATAAAATACAGCGAAAAACAAAAAATACAACAAGTTGCGATCCGTTCAATAATTGCAATAGAAAATATACTTTACCAGTTCTTTATTCCATCCTCCATTTCCTTCTCAAATACGTAACGTAACCGTCAATTTTATTTAAAAAAGAACAATTGGCGCCACCTAATTAAAATTTAAAAAATTTTTAATTTCTAAAAATGCAAAAATTAATCTTTCATTGGAATATTATTGAAATAAATAACTGTGAAGTATTATGAATATTGATTTATTAATGTAAGTATTATTAATGTTGGAGCCAAATAGCCACCAACGATCGAAATGAGCGGTAAAACGAGGACAATTTGTCTTTGAGTCGGTTCTCTATTTTTATAAATCATTTATTAGAGGAAAAGGTGGTATTATGGAACACTGCGGGTATTATGGAACCACTCCATTTCGAACTGATAATAAAAGCGAACTGTAGCGGATTGTGTCTGAACTGAACTAGGCAGACATCCATAGCAAGGGGAAAACCCGTTTCACTTCAGTTAAACGGTTGTTTGTAGTGAATCGGCAAATTTGTGTTTTTCAAAATTCGAAAGTTTTGAATGCTAAGGGAGTTTAATTATTTGTAAAATATAAATCGTGTCGTTGTAGGTTCACTGGTGAATGTATCCGTTTCAGAGATTTGGGAGTACATATTAATCAGTGTGATGTTCACGTTTTTTAAAGTTTAGTCTTGACAGACATAAGTTAATTGAAGATGGCGATGCCATTGGTGCTTTTAATATGGAACCCAACTCCTCCGAACTCTCTCTTTGCAAGCAGATATTCGTCGAGAGCAATTTGTGAAAAAGACATTAGATAGAAAGCCTTCTATCGAAAAAGAGCTGATGGAATATATATTTTTGATGGAGGTCATATTTCTTTATTATAAAAGCATTTTTTCGATAAAATACATTGGAGTAAATAATTTTGTAATTATTTAACATTCTTTGTACTTTCCTATTTGATTTTGGATACATTAAAGCATTTTTTGAAAACATACAGTAAAGTTCCATATTACCACCCGATTTTCTCTAAGCCTACTTTCT